TTTTATTGAAAGTGAAACTTGTGGATACGTTACTGATAATCAATATTACCCTAGCTTGGTTCATAAAATTTCTAACGAGGCTAATCATAATTTTAATTATACAAAGTGTAATTCAAACTATGATTGGACAATGTTGAAAGATGCAGAGCTACCAGTAAATGATAATGTTTCTTCAGATTATAATAGTAGACCAAAATCTTCAAAAGACTATGCAGACAAAAGTTTGATGTTTAAGTCAAGAGTTAAGTGCAGAAGTCAATCTGTGCCTGATAAATTACGTGGTAAAGATAATCCATTAAGTATTAATATGTATGATGTTACACACAAACAGAATGATGAAAATATCTATTTGAATAGAGGTAATAATATTTCCCAACTAATTTACAATGAAAATAAAAACATAAGTATAAATGAAAACTCTATGAATAAGAGTAGACAAACTCAACAATGGGTAGAAAATTCTGGTGGTTATTTACCTGGAGCTAATTTTAATTCTATGAATCATCAACGTTCTTGCAATAATCTTCAACCTAACTGTGTTGATCGAGATTTACTGAATTTACAAAATTCAAATAATAAATCAGATGATCATTCGCAATTGACTAACATTGGCCCAAAGAAATGTGTTGCTACTAAATATTCTTTTATTAATACACTACCTCAAATTAGAAATCCAACATGTCGTAAACAAACTACAACTGTTTTAAATAATCTAGTGAAACGCGAAACTCTTAACCCTAATCATGAAAATATATCATGTCCAGCTCACTTAAATATAAGACAAGATACAAGTTTGGATATTTTAGATCACGTTTTTAAACAGTCTTCTGCTATATATAAAATGAATCATTGTATGGGTAGGGATGAAACAATTTCACGACCGAATTACAATAAAAATTTTAATTACTATGAGTGGGATCCAGACGTTAGTAGCTATTCTACATTTAAAAAACGAAATCTTCGTTGGTTTAATGATTCTGGATATCTCCCCGATGAACAGCACGATTATACGTTAGATCGAAAAGTCTCATTGTTTGATTCACGATATGGTTATAATGATGATATTGCTGCTACTGATAACATAAAAAGATCAAAATTTAGGAATGAAAGTTTAAATTCTAGACCACTAATAAGAAACAACGATCAGATAAAGACAAATAGAATTGAAAATGAATGCGATCAATGCATCAATAATAGTAAACCATGGTCCGCTAGAAAAGATCATTTTGATAACTCAAGTATGAATGTATCTTTTAATACGGATACTAGAGGTAATCAAAGTCAGCGATCAGATATTAGAAATATAAGTACACCAAATTTAAGTCTGCAATCTATTGATCCTGCTAACGAGTCATTAAATAATTCAAATACGAGCAGTTTCAGTAAAATTTGTGCAAACCTTCGAAAAAAAAAAACATTCTTAGTGTAATATTTATTATTTATCAATAAAAATTTTTTTACAAATAGATGATGAATTTTAAAAATATTTGATTACTGTATTTAAAAATTCATTTTTTGCTATTAAAACAATTAGATGAATATAACTATTAACTTCTCATTTCTAACTATGTTAAACGTTAATAACTTATAATAGATAAAACTTTATAATATGTGTTAATAGTAAAAGATGTCTAAACAAATTAATTGGTAGGAAGATTTAGTGGAAGTAACTTATCGAGTCAACTATTGTCATCATTACTCAATTGTTTAAACTATTTACTTAATGTTAAGAATTTTTCAGATAACAATATTTGTAATAAAATAATATTAAGAAAAAAATAATAGTATAAATAAATAAAAAAACTTAAGTAAAAATTCCTAGGAGTTATGTTATTCACATGGTGATTAGTAATACTATTAGTTAATTGATGGTGAATGATGACACATTTCCGCGTCGCTTCGTGATACACGGAACCCCGCGACCTTAAATCTCTTAAACGCCCCAGAAATACCTAAATAATCCCTTTCCCTTATTTTATTTTACACCCACTTTCTTTTCTGTTTTTATGTTTTACACTATAAACAAAATTTGAGACTTATTGGTCCAACATTATATGAATCCAATATAACTTATAATACAATAAATAGATGTTATGAAAATTTAAATTACCGAAAAAAATAAATATGATTGAAACATTTACACTTAAAAGCTTATTTCTGAAACATTTAATTATTCTAAAACAAAGTATAAAGAAAAGGAATAGAATAATAAACAATATGAGTAACTATGCAAGTTATGATTATTAATATATTGAATTTGACAATTTTTTGTTCCCGATCTTTTTTTTATTAAACTTAATTAGCAAAATATGGTAAAACACAAATGTGTGGGTATTAAAAGCGAAACCGATTTTTCAGGTTCAGTGGAAATGCCGAATTACTTGCCTAATTTGTTAAAAGAATGGTCAAAGGCAGCTATACATGCACAACCATTACACTTGATATACTGGTCCGCAATTTACTTTCAGATGAAAGCTAACAACGAAACCCCTCCACTAAGACAGCATTTGGATGTTCCAGACTACAAATTAGGACCCGGTCGATTAAGTCCTACAATATTGAAAGCTATGGCATTGACATTGAGCAATAAAATGGAACCATTAGAAAAAATTGAAAAAGTTTGGCTTATCTTATCTTTAGAAAAAGACCTTTTACGAAAAATAATAGACATAGGACACTTTCACGGGGATATAAACCCATTGGAATTTATAGGAATAGCTGCTGCACATCTTAGTAATCGACTTCGAGATACAATGTTACTTATGTATGACGTTTTATCTGAAGAGCAAAACACAGGTGTTCCGTTAGACCGATTTTTGAGTGTTTATACATACTTGGCAAAATTAAATTGTTCTAACCTTGATGAGCAGAACGAATGTTTAGACGCGGAAGGAAATGAAGACGTTGAAATGTACGACGAAGAATTAAGAAATTCGTATATACACAGTATACCTAGTGATGAATGCTTTATATCGGAGGAATTTGAAAAGGCACAAGAAATTGATGATGAGTCCTCAGATATAAAAGATACTAACTTAGAAGTATCAAAAATAATAAACCGAATAAAAGAACAAAATAATACTGATCGAATACCTGCAGAATTTAGTAAAGCTCATATTACAAACGATATGTGTGAAACTTTGGATAATTTACATTCAATAGAAAAAAAGCACATGGAGGTGTCTCAGTACGACCTTTTATCATTTCCAAGTGCATCGACAATAATTCCCGCCCCATCAATAGACTCAATCGAAAATAATACCATACACAGTTCACTATCTATTGAATCTGGAATGGAGCGTGGTGATTATGAAACAACTGACAATGAAGACCCTTTTTTTTTGCCCCACGATGATAATAATGAGGCTACTGAAGAGAATGTCCAAATATCTACAGACGATGACTTAAAAATACCAATACAAAAAGAAATAATAGTAATGATGGCTTTGATAAATGATAATCCAGTTGAAGATTCTACAATGACAGCCGATGATAATGAATCTACTGAGTCAGAGTTTTCATTATTGTCTCGTACAGATTTAGGCGATGGTTGTGGAACATTAGGGGACAAAAACATGGAAGAAAGAATGATAGAAGACGTACCAATAGAGTTAGGTACCGATAGTACTGGCAGCGAGACAAGTAGCATATCAGATGAAATGAAATATTCAAGTAGAGATGAGCAGAGCGATTCATCAACAAGAGTTTCAGTAACATCTCCAAGAACTATTACTGAAAAAACCGGGTATAAGGTAAATGAACAGGAATTTCTTACAACTAGAAGTGGATCACTCATTGATCAAGCAATAGGAGAAGAACAATTTATCGTCGACGAGTACCAAATAATTGAAAATGATGAGACCGAAGATATCGAAATGGATTATGGAAAAATATCTATAAGCTCAGTTTCAACGAAAGAGTCGTTAAAACAACCCAAAAAAACGACTACAGGAACAGAAAAATTTGATGTAATTGAAACTAAATTACATGTCATCCCAGGCATTGGACCAAAAATTCCTGACAGTAACATTGAAGCAATCGTAGATTGGCTAACAGCTTGTGCTAAAAAACAAAACAATTATGTGAAAATTGAAAACTTAATACATTTTTTATGTCCTCCGTTAGATTTAAAACCTAATGACATAGATTGTGAGTTATTATACGTATAATAAATTGTATCTTCAGTACTACTTCATATTAATACAGCCTGAATACTTAGTTTCGTTTTGTGATGACATATGAAGAAATTTTACGTCCTAGTTAAAGCAAAAAAATCTTGACTCCCATTTCTTTAGTAATATAAATGGACGAAGCACTGAAAAAAATAATTTACAAAATATTACAAATAATAAAAATATTTTCTTTTTTATAATTTTTATATGAAATTTTTATGGAATTTCGTCACTGATTCCAAATCCTAGCTATTACCGATAACTAAAAATACCATCGAGTTGTCCAAAATATAGACATATACTAAATAAACAACGGTCAACTATTTATTATTTTGTTGTAAAGTATTATGAGTCTGAATTCAGTACTCAAACCTGCACAATACGAGCGGTTACCCAAAACAAATAACTCTAGTCAACTACTTATAAGTAACCACTATTTCAAAGCATTCCCATAAAATTAAAAGAAGATTTAATTAATTTTATTTTATGTTTTCTGTAGTTATAGCACCCGATAAAAATTACTGTTAATATTATAATAAATGTTTTTTAATAAAATCAATAAATATATTAATAAATAATAAATATAATTATGATGATCTAATATACAAATTAGACAAATTAGATTTTAGTCATAAATAAGTTGAGGTAAAAATAAAAGTAAAATATTTATTTACCAATAATAAATATCAAAATTTCAAAATTCTACCAATTTATAAATTTCCATATTTTGTATTTTAATATAAAATTATACACATTTATATTTTAAATACCTATGAGCGATTATAGTAATTACTTTATGTAGTCGCAGTTTAAAAACCGTTCTGTCTTCAAGAGTAATTAGCCTCTTAAAGCCGTATACAAATGGTAAAAATGAAATGGTTTAATAAAAATTAACAAAAAATATGCACAGTAACAGTATTGAAAAATAAACAAAAATAATTGCGTTCCATATATTATGTTTAAATAATGTAAGTCTGAAAACATAAAACTGCTAATCGTTGCTTAAAAATAAGTAACAGTAATATCAAAAGTCATAGTAGTGTAACACACGCATGAACGTAAAAAGTCTTATGATTAAATATAAATGCCACACGACGAAGAAGACGAAGGATACTTCTCTGGTCAGTAATAATATGTTTTGCAATCTAGAGTAACTTGAACTTGATCCATTTAATTTTATACTCAATATTACATTGTTATTGTCTTTAAATATCATGCATATTAACGCCATATTTTTTATGCTGTTAATACTTATAATATTAAAGAATTTTTATTTAAAAAAAATGCATTTGACATCATGAATATTTTATTTTTTAGTAGGTATGGCAGTACTTGCCGTGTTTGTGTCTTTACTAATCGTCTATTCTCATCACGCTAAAACACCAAGTGAACCGGGATTATTAGACGTTCAATACGCATTGCCGCCATCAAATATGAAAATGGGAGTCTATTCGAAAGCGGCCGTTGTATCCAATGGAGAACCATGCGCCAACATCGGGCGGTAATAAATTACACATAATAATATGACCGATAGGGTCCTTTAAGTCTATTCATTAGTGAAGACCAAACATATTTTCCTGATAATGAATGTATTTTAACATTATCCTAATTTTATTTAAATTTTCAACACACATGTACAAATTTTTTTACGTGCCAAGTCTTTTTATTATATAAATTATATTTATGTTCAATAACACAATTTTATAGAGGTCATATTTTTTTAAAATTTATATTGGTAGTTTAATTTTAAGTCCATCCTAAAATATATAGTGATACAAATTAAATACCCAAAAGATCATGACAGTTGTGTCAAATTTGAAATATCAATGGAATAGTCCAATAAGGAAAATAATCTAATACTATAAAAATAATATATAATAAAAATGTTAATATTATTAGAAATATCTAAATACAAATTGATTTATGTACAGCAATATACTTAAGAAAGGAGGTAATGCCATAGACGCTATCATAGCAACATTGATTTGTGATGGTGTTTTTTGTCCGGAATACATGGGTTTGGGTGGAGGAATTCTTATGACTATTTATAACAGAACTACAAAAATGGCCACAGAGATAAATGCGCGAGAAATTGCTCCAGCAGCTGCAAATAAAACAATGTATACCAACGAACCTATGAAAGCTCAACGAGGTACATTTATTATATACATAATAAAAACATAACTAAAAAAATAGTAAAACTAAGAGTATAATTAACGATTAGTGTGAGCGTAATTAAGTACAAAATATAAATACTATCTACGCATCGTATAAACAAGATATTGGTGCGAAGGCAATGATATCGTCAAACCACAACTTTGGCGATCACTAATTACAATTCTCGCAAAATACACAAGTAGACTGAAACCAAAGACAAAATATTTCCTTGTTCTTAAAAATTAATTCAGCTATCAAAACTTAACCTGTTAACACAATACTATTAATAACGTACAATTACTATAAACAAAGCAATCTACTAACGACGATTTATAATTAATATAACAACAAACGGTTTTAATTAATTTTGTGCAATGAACTAGCTGATAGTCTGTCGGCGAATACTCCACGATTTAACATTAATTTATTCAGGTGGAATGGCAATAGCCGTGCCAGGTGAACTAAAAGGATACTGGATCGCTTATAACAAATATGGTGGTGGAGTACCTTGGAAAGAATTGTTTGAACCAACAATTAAACATTGCAAACAAGGAATAGTCGTTAGTGAACGATTGGCAAATAACCTGGTGCGTTTCGAAGATTTAATACTAAATACTACTACGATTAAGTGAGCATTAATGCAAATCAAATTTTTTTATGTAACTTATAACTTTTTATCTGAAATAAATAGGTGTCCACCAAATTTTGGCATCTTTAATCTAGCAAATATTTTGCATTATTATTATTCTTTGATTGATTTTATAGTTTGAGTACAATTTTAAATATGACACTGCCGCCGGAGTTTAAAAGCCGGTCATCGCAAATTTACCGGAAATCATGTGAACGAAATTAGAACCTGCGTCACACTCACGAAAAGGTGTCATAGAGACAAACCTTACCACTAGACAAAAGTACACTTGAGAATCAGATCCTGATACACTTACATATAGGTTAATAACGTAATGTGCGGCTAAGGTAAACATGGTACCGTGTCAAATATTTAAGATACATATGTATAAAAGAAATATGATATTGACAAGGATGTGAGACATAGGATTAATAGCGAATAAATCATGTGGAGAAGAGCGTCTGGTATTTTATGCGATAAAAGAATCTCAAAGGGATTAAAAGGTCTTTTCTTTAAGACTGTATTGAGACCAACTATGTTGTATAGGTCAGAGTAAGACATCGTCTCAAATGGAAGTTTAGAAAAAGGGTGGCCATTCCTAGTAGTTGGGATTAAGGTAAGGTAAAAGAAGAAGATATAATAAAACACGTTACTTATATTTTATCTCTGTGAAAACTACTTAATATACAAGCAATGAAGTTACATAACTTTTACGATAAGAAAATCCAATACAATATGGACGAGGCATAGTTAGAAAAAGTATAGATGACATCTGACAATGATTAAAATCAAAATCGTAAAAAATACTTCAACGCAAATCTGTAAATGACGTGTAATTTCTAGAAGGAATTGTTAGATTTTTTTAAAAGCATATTCATATTTTTTTAATTATACTCCAATTACAAGTCTTATGATTTATAAGTACAAAACATGAACAAATACTCATTATAGTAATTAATTTTAGTATGGAATTGATATTCAATAATTTAGTATTAAATTTTATGTAGAATTTTTAAGAATTTTTAAGAATTATAAAGTAATTGTATATTTTGTTACCTCTATAGCAAGCATATAGTATTATCTCACAAGAAAATTTGATGGGCAGATAACAAATTATTAAGTTACAAGAATTTTAATACAGTGAGTGAGTATATAATGCGGACGTAGTATGCATAATAATATACTACAGTACTCTGTGTATAAAAATACTTATAACTCAATAAGTACTTATTCTAAAGTTATTATCGACTCATCAAATTTTTGTCTAAGGAACGAGTAAAAAAATTGCTATTTTGAAGTTAAAAAAAATTATTTTTTTTATTATTAGATACAAATGATAAAAATATGCTTCTTATGTAGTCAAAAACTGTAAAAATTATTTAAAAAAATAATACCACATAACATTTGAAGAATCAAAAATGGTTAAAGATGTCAAAAACTGGTAGGATATTCTGTGTCATCATCTCATTAGCCTCTATCCCAACTATTTGGGATCGGCTCTATCTAACAATACTTTGACAAGATTTTTACAGTGACTAATTACCTGACGCGACTTCATTATGGCTATGGGAATTAGTAAGGGGGTAAGGCATGTGTCACTGTTTAATTCCCCATATGATTATCCATCCTGGAACTAACATCCAACAGCGCTAATATGATAATTAAATGATACACTATGCTCCCTGGATATTGTTAATAATAATATTCCGTTGTTTGAAAAATGTTAATCGAATATAAATAAAGTTCAGATAAATTATCACAGGAATCATTTTGTTGACCATAAAACGGGCCGCATTAAAAAAGCCGGTGATATTTATAAGCTACCAAAACTAGCAAGGTCATTGCGTATCATAGCCAAGAATGGAGCAGATGCCTTATACAACGGCAAATTAACCGCTAAATTATTGAAAGATATCAAAAACTGTGGTGGTATAATTACTGCGGAGGATATGGCTAATTACAAGTAAATACAAAAATTAATATTTATATATAAATACAGAGTGATTGGTTTATCATAAACCACACGATTACTCTCAAAATAAATATAATATGAATAAAAAAAATCTTTGTTTTTTTTAGTTACTTATATTTCTTGACTTATAAGCTAATAATTACTTTTTAAAATTATCTCTCATAACTTAAAGAAGTGTCAACTTTATTTTTTTAAATAGCATCGTACTAGATTAATAATAGCTAGATTATTAAATAAGAAATAATCTAATTAAAAAAATGACTGGTTAAATGTACTATGCTATTTAACAAAGTAAAGCTGTCATCCATTTAACTTATAAGTGATCTTAAAAAGTAATTATTAGCTGATAAATCAAGAATTATATGTAACTGTAACAATCATATGTTAATGAAATCAAAACTTGTTTTTCCAATATTGTATTATAATTTACGAGTAATAGAGTAATAGTTTATAATAAACCAATCACTCTGTAAGTTTATATATACTACCATAATGATAACAGAAAGGAACTTTAGAAAATATAAAACAAATTTTATTATCAAATGGTTCGGCAATGATATTTTTGACAGATACAATAATTGTATCTGCCAATAATTATTAAAAGATACTATATTATTAGATTATTATACTTCTACAATCTACAGGGTGAAAATCAACGAAGCATTTAACGTGGATTTAAAGAACGGCTATAGGCTGCACGCTGGAATACCACCAAGTTCTGGTGTAATACTAGCCTATATTTTACGCTTGCTTGATGGAAAATTGCCAGGACCAAACGCTGGTTTAGATGCCCATCGATTAGTAGAGGCTTATAAATTTGCATATGGCGAACGTACTCGTATAGGTGACCATAACTTTGTCAAAGTCAATCAGGTAAATTGAAAATAAAAGTATTTGAACTGTAATGTTAGCGATTTACTAGCAGTACCTTTACTTATGCATCTTCCACCTAAATCTTTTTCTCCTGGCGTAGTTAAAAATTGTATATGTTCTTTTCTAATTGGAATACCCTAGTCTACGAATTAATTACAGCCGAGATTGCTCGACAACTTCCTAAAAAACAATAATGTTGCTGACTTATACTATTAATGCAGTATTTCGTTTGTCATTCTCTTCACTTCAATGAAAATTCTTCTTCATAATCCGCATACACAAAGATAATAAACCTTCTGACCTTCCGTCTTCATATAGGCCTATAAGTCTTTTAGCTTTTTTCTCAAAATTCTGTCAAAAACTTATCTTAAAGCGAATAGATTTAATCATTAAAGAAAAAACATTATCCCTGATAATCAATTTAGTTACCGAGAAGAATACTCCATAATTCATCAAGTACAATGTTTAGTTGATCTAATTTCCTAAAGTTTGTAACACAAACTGTATTGCTCCTCTGTAATGCTTGATATCTCACGAATTCTCAATAGAGTATGGTATCCAGATATTCTTCTTAAACTCCATAACATTATTCTTAATCCTTAATGTAAAACAAACTGCTATCTTCAGATAAAAAAAATTCCACAACTGACTCCAAAATCATTCAAATCCTCTCATTAAAACGTTATCTTTCTAAACAATTCCTTATAATCCTCCATATAGCCTATAAAGATCACCGAGTAGGGATCTAATTAAATTATAAATGTATTTATATAATAAGAACTCTTTAATTCACTAAATTTGTAGTATCACATTTTAATACATGTAGTAAATAATAAATATACTTGATAAAAACATATCACCAAATCAGTGTTCCCCATGGATAAGATAAATAAAAAAATAATACCCTTACACAAGATTCAACCACCCTCTTACGCATTCCATAAAACACCCACGTAAAAGATTGACAAATCAAATATAAAAAAAAATATTTCAAGAATTGTACCAAAGATCGCTAAACCAGTTTCTCGGGCAATAAAAAAATCATTTTTCCCCAAAAAACATCCTCGTTTTCCAGTGACGACAAGGCTTTGACGTGCTCTCCAGTGCTCACTTTCGCTTTCAACTACAACTGCGATTATGTGCCTCTCTAGAGTTCTCCATCAACATACATAAATGGAATCTGCGTGATTATATACTTCGCTCTGGGTTACAATTCTATTTTAATTCTACATCGTTGTTTACATATTATTCCTCTTATTTCCAATCAAATACCTTTGGTGATAAAAATATTCCAGCTCATAAAAATATTTGTAGTTGTTTTATTTATTTCTTATATATATACACACTTCAAAAAATACATGATTAGATTGCATTGTGTTCTATTACTTAATGAAGCGCCACAACCTAACTGGACAGAGTACTAGCACAATAATATCATAGTCAAGATTCCAACTAATTATAAATGCTCTTTAAAGTGTCTCTCTACTTGTCGACTGGCTAGTCTGATCTCAGCCAACGGAATGTAGGACACTAACATAAGTTATTGTGTATAAATCTATAATAAAGTCGTATCTAACCTTGGTCGTCCTTCAGGTAATTGAAAAGAAGTAGGCCATATATCATAAAGGTCTTTGCATAAAAATAACAATATTGTTTGATATCTCATGTTGGCATAGCCAGCTAAGATGTACAAATTATATTGGAGTCGAAATATTATACTAATTACCTAAGTAATTAGAAAGTGTCATTCCACTTATTGACTAGCCAGTCTGAACTCAACCACAGTGCGAGCAAACGAAGTGTAAGATACTAGTATAATCTATTGTGCAAAGAACTTAAATTGTGCTCACATCTACCCTAGATCACTCTATGGATGACTAAAAAGACGATGGCCACTTGGAAATAGTTAATTACACAGGATAGTTATGTTGTTTAGAATTTCTTTATTGGTTTTATAAATTATTAAATTATATATACATTAGTGTAAAACACTACACTCAAGGTCAAAGAGTATACCACATAAATATACAAAAAGGTCTTACATAAAATACTAAACGTATAATAAATTTAAGTTCCACCTTGAATAGATTTAATATAGAGTTGTACTAGAGAAATAGTTACACGCGAGTTAATAATAACTTAAGTCGTATAATTTCAAATGCGTATATCAACGCATATACATACGTATCGACAATAGTGACATCAACTACATGATTCATCTCAACAGAATATCTGTCTTATCTGGATAATTAGAGGTAAGTGAAAACATTTATTTATGTAACAAATCTATAAGAAACCCTTCACCGAAGGATTTTTAGTAATAAACAATTAAAGTGAGATAGGTTGTCGGAATTAAACTGACTGAAATAACAGTGTAAAGGAATACAATACTCACGACTCATATAAATTCGTGTATACATTTTTGTGCGGGAGCTAAATAGTAACCTTTCGTTGATTTTTCACCTTTACCCATATATGTCAAACATGCTTCTATAGGCATACATACCCCGAGTCCCTTTCTATTTCATTTTACTATTGTCCGTGCCCAGTACATCTAGACACTCATACTTTCCATTACTACCCATCCTACTTTACCCTACTTTATACTACCTCCTACTCTATACCCCATCTTCTATTCTTTTTGTTTATTACAAATTACTAAAGTCAATAGCAATATCGTCACTGGGCAATCATTGGGCATGTACGTTAAAATTAAAAAAAATTAATGTCTTTAAACACAGTAATTATATATTCGCTTACTACTCATTTAATTAAATAGAGCTGACGATGCATTTTTTCTTAACAACCATTGTTTACATCCATGATTATTTAGACCATGTTTATATTATAACCATTTAGACCATGTTTATATTATAACCATTTAGACCAACACAAAGTTTAATCATTGATAACACGTTATAAAAAAATGTTACCACTAAATGAAAAAAGTATATGGAATCAGTAGAGCATTGTCTACAACATAATATATTATACTACATATAAATGGCGATATGTTTTGCCTGGTTTTTTGAGAACCTTATTAAGAGATTAAAAGTATAACGATTAATAGACCATCATTATGAAAAATAATTATAATAAAATCTAACGCTAAAAACAATTTATATATATTAAAAGTTCTTTACGTATAATTTTTACCTTTAGATTTTTAAAAAAATCAAGTCTGACCAGTACATAGAAAACATTAAAAGTAAAATTAATGATTACTCCACATCACTGAACCCTAAGTATTATGGAGCTGAATACGACATACCAATTGACCATGGCACAGCAAATGTAGTCGTATTAGACGCTATGGGTAACGCAGTTGTTGCTACTAGCACAATAAACACAATGTAAATTTAACCATTATTATTACTGCTAATTTCATAATAGTATTTTTCATTATTATGTAGAGTAATTCTTTTATTATGAATTACATGTTTAATTGAAAAATTAAAATAATATTTTTATTTTTTATTTTTTCAATTTATCAATAATGAAGTATTTTTTTTTTGTCTATCTCTTATGACAACTTTATTTTTTCAAAGAACAGTATAAAAATTTAGCTAACTATTTAGTAAATAATAATCTAATTGAAAAAATGACTGGTCAATAACGAACTTTTAGACCAGTATTTCGGAAGTTATTAACATTTAAATAGATAGAGGTTGTATTGTGCTTTCAATATTCTTTAAATTAAATTTTTAACATCTTTGCAAATTCGATGTCTAAATTTGACAATTTATAGTATTTTAAAAAGGAATAACTTTCACAGAAGATTCTTGGAAGTAAGAAAAATATTTAAAAATGCAATTGTTATATTTAAAGAATTACAATATAAACAATATGAACGTCCAATAAAACTATGTAACCTGTAAAATACGTTGTCACAGAATCAATTTTATTTTTTATTTGAAATGTAGTTAAAATTAATTAATATTGTTTTCAAAATAGCATCAAATCGGGTATATTTTCGGATTTTTGTATTGGGTCAATTCAGCTCCATAAAAGTATAAATGCGTTAGACCTAGACTTATTTATAATATTTGTAGGTCAGATTAGGTCGAAATTTTTCGTTCCGCGCAGGATTTTAAAAAGAGCTACTGTAGCCTCTGAAATATAGTTAGTATTTCTAAGACATAATTTTCTTTAAAATTAATTTTGGCAAAAAATAAAATAGTTAGACTTAAATAAATAGCATTAGCACTACCCATTAATTTTAATCAAAATGAAAAACCTCTTGAGATTTAAAAAAATCCAATTTTTATCAGACTGTACCTTTATTAAAAAAATTGATTTAGATTCGGTTCCGGTGTTATGTCAAAGAGTACCGGTATAATAATGAACAACGAGATGGATGACTTTTCAATACCGGGAATTCGAAATTCCTTTGGGATTCCTTCATCTCCTGCTAACTATATTCAGCCGGGTAAAAGACCAATGTCTTCAATGTGTCCGTCAATAATTACCGATAATAAAGGAGACGTAATACTTGCCCTTGGAGCAGCTGGAGGATCAAAAATTACACTCGCTACAGCCTATGTGAGTAAAATTTATTATTAAATCGGTAGCACACCAAAAATGTAATCCCACTTACAAATTATTGTAACATTCTTCTTTTTCCTCGCCTTTAATCTAACTACATGAGGTCGGTCACCTTTCTCCTAAACTTCCGCTTGACATGATTTCTCACATCATCTACGCATACATAAGCCGTCCTCCAAAATTATTGTACCCTATAATAAAAAAAAATTAGATTACAAGAATATTATTGTGAGTAAAATCAAAGTGAATTAACTTTATATATTTTTATTTTTTAAGGTTATTGCTTTAACGATGTGGTACAATAAAACGCTTAAAGAAGCTATAGATGAGCCGAGAATTTATCATCAACTGATACCCATGAGAATTGATTATGAATATGGTCTTCTTAAGGTAGATATCCAAAATATATTCTGCTTACAGCTTAACATAACCACCATTATTATTTTTTCTATCACTATCGCCTTTTATAATTGTTTATCAAGTAAAACATGTATAAATAACATTTAACTGCATTACTTTTGATTTTTCTAGAATGTGGTGAATAAATTGAAAGAAATCGGTCACCCAGTGAACCGATTGACATTTAGAGGAGGTTCAGCTGTAACAGCTATTCACAAAAATAGAGAATGTCATATAACAGCAATGGCTGACTTTAGAAGACCCGGAAATACGTCCGGATACTAGTTAGGTACAAACATTTTTTACAAACAAATATTTTTAAACATTTCTATATTTTACACGTTTCAAAGGCAGTTCCTGAATAACAAAATTTACTAAATGAAGTAAAGTATGAACTGAAATACTCTTTTATAATTAATTAACTATAATAATAAACTAAAAATATAAATATTAATCATTAGAGATCTATTACTCTCTAATAATAAATATTGTTTTCTTAACTTTCGCAACACAACTTTAAGATTATGTTACAAATTAAATATTTTTATATACATTTATACATTAATCTAAATTATAAATATAGAAAAATATATATTATTTTTCACATACATGAAATAAAAATAGGTGATAAAATTAATTATCATATTATAACTATGAAATAAACAACATAATTTAAACATTGAAAATTATGTACATATAAACGAGTATTCTGCCGTGCTAAGCAAAAACAGGATAACTCCAAAATTAAAAAAAAATTTTTTTTGTTTCTATAGGTAAATTTAGTGGTTTTACGCCGATTTTTGATGTAAAAATAGCATATTTCCTATTAAAACCCATCTAAAATTGAAATATAAAATAAGAAAATATACGGTAAGTTCAATATATTTGATGTTTTGTCAGCGAAAACACGGTAAATCCAAATACTAAACAAAAACTTGGTATATCACATAAAAAATAATGGAGTTATCGTCTTTTGACTTATGTTCATACATTGGGAAAAAAGGGTATCTTGATTTACTGTTAAAAATGTTTTTTTGCGTTCCTGAAAAATCATGTTGACTGGAGTTATCCTTTTTTTGCTTATCACGGCAGTATTGCAGTTAGTTTAATTGCAATATAGTGATGTTAAATAATAGTCAGAAGTCGATTTTGAGTTTTTTTGAAATTACATCAACTACATCTAACCAATAAATTGAATATATTATGTTGAACATCTATACAGTTCAAAATAAGATATATAAAACATTATGATAAAAATATCTAGTCTCTTCGTTTAATACCTTACAGGTTTAGATAAATTTGAATCCAATCTTATCTATAAAAAGTATTCCTAAATCAATAAAGATGCTAGTCACATTAACATTATAAACTTGTATTATTTAAATCTCATAAATATAATTGAAATAAACCCTAAACTAATATTAGGTGAAAATCTGCGTTCAATTATGTATGATTACAACCACACTTAAGATTAAATAACTATTCACTTTTTCGTGTTCTAATATAGTCGAGCTTGGGACACGCATAGTAGAATATAACCTAATAACTGATAAATTCAGCATCAACAATGCTTAGATATAATTGTGCTTAATGAAAGGTTATTGATACTCTTTTAGATAGAGAATATTTTTTCGGTAGAACAAAGTTTGAGTTCCCTTAATACAACTGTACTATTTCATAACAAATTAGGCTAAGAGCTTCGGTAAAGATTGAAAATTATTAAATCAATATTTAATTAAAAAACATTAGCGGCAATGAATATTTTTGACAAAAAGATGTAACGCTCACGGAGTGCTAAAAAACTTTTTTCAAGAATAATTTTCCCAAAATAATGTCACCAAGCATTTTCATTAAAATGAAAATTTTTGAAAAACGAACATCGTTAAGTAATTTTTCCAGCATTGTCAAATTTTTAAGTGTTTTATTATATAATAATATTCTAACTGAATTCCTTGATTTTCCTCCAAAAGTATTTCGAAATACTCGTAATTAGGAATTCCATGCAGATGAAGATGCAAGATAAAGCAACTGTTAATATTTTCGTTTATTATTCAACATTACTTCATACATTTTTATTATAATTAAAATAATTATTTACCATAATATCGCCCCTTTTTACAATTTATTAATTTCATAACTATATTTAATAAAATTTCATTTTAATGAAATTAAAAATAAGATATCCGTATATTATTATTCTATAAAAGCCAATTTATGTCTCAAAATAGAATAACGAAGACATGTTTTTAACAATAAAATACTATTAAAAAATTAATCTATATAATAAGATATAAAATAAAATTGTTTATAATTTTATAAATTTAAAACTATTTATTCCCATTAAAAAAAAATAATATTAATTTAATATTTTTAATAATATAAGTTTATTATTATAATATTATAGTTTTTTTTAAACAAAATAGTTTTGCCCTTTACAAATTTAAAAAATGTTCAATATTTTATAAGAAAGTAAATATGTGAATAATCAATAAATATATTTTAATTAAAAATGAATTGAAAAAGTTCTACTTTCTATAGGTATTTTTAAGTTTTGAAACACCCCTGTATAAAGGGAAATGATCTGATTAAAAAAAAAGTATGTCCAATGAAATAATATTTATCATAAAAAAATTGTGTTGATCCATACACTTTTCAATAAGTTATAGCATTATTAAGTTAAAAATGTAAAATATAAAATCGAGAATTTTCACACAAAAATAGCATTTTCACCGTGAAACAAATAAAGTCCGAATTTTTTTTTTTTTTTTCATAATAAAGCATATTACATTAACTTTAATTTAAGATATATATAAAAGTATCAGGCTTTCTGGAACACTTTCAAAAGTTAAGTTGAAAAGGTTAGTTTTTTGTGAAAAAGTTGTCATTTTAAATCCCCCCTTGTGGGCAGGTAAAGGGTCAGATTTATAAAAAAAAATATCCCAAATGGTAGGTAAATACATCATGCATCTACAAAAAAAAATTATATTAATTTGGTTATTTTTAAAAAAGTTATGGCAGATTTAAGTAAAAAAAATTGAAAAAATTTCGAAAATTAGCGATTTTTAAATTTGTATTTTTTTTTTTTGAGGTTTATGTCTTCGATTTGTGATCTTTTGACATATCTTTGAAAAAAATCGGTTTGGTGAGAGCTGAGTAATAGTGGTAACAGACACAAAAAAAAACACATCATAGTAAAACTAACATCTTCTCAGCTTTGCATCGGAGCTAACATATAAAAATTACTAAATTTACAATTTTAAGTATAATATTAATTTTTATGAGATTACAAAAATTACATTATTAAGAATTTATTAATAAAGAAACTTCTTCTTCTTATTCCTCGTCTTAATCTCAACTATTTGGGGTCGGCCAGCCTTATTCTATACTCCCACTTTAAAGATCTCTCACATCATCTAATAAAAAAACAACAACAAAAATATTAAACAAGCTAACTTGTAAATAAATAGCTAAAAGATAACGTATTACCAGCAGATTAAATTAAATTAATGGGAGAACATGCAAAATATTTTTTAGATGATAGTGGAATGTAGACGAGGTCTCTATGTTGTGTTAAATAAGGGTTAGTTTATTAGACTAGAAGGAAGGGATCTTCAATATCATTTTTTTATAACTTTTCCAGAAACAAGGCATTAAAATAATATTTTCATCATTTAAAGTTTTTAAATTTAATATTTGAAGAATATTCTCATATTGTATAAAAAGTGTTGATAATAAGGTACTCTTGAGTGATCAAAATGTGAAAAAAAGGTGGAAAGAGTATTTTGAAAAATTATTGAATGAGGATTACCCAAAAGAGACATTAGAGGATATCTCGTGGAATGAAGGACTGGTAGATTTAATTAGTGAGAAAGAGGTATGGGAGGCTGTTTGATGCCAATGAAAAAGAATAAAGCAGTAGGACCAGATGAAGTGCTAGTAGAAGTATGGAAAATATTAGGCGGTGATGGCATAAGATGGTTGAAGGAACTTTTAAATAAAATTTTATTAAAAGGGAAAATACCAAATGAATGGAGAAATAGTATTGTGGTGCCGATATTTAAAGGTAAAGGAGACATACAGAAGTGTAGAAATTATAGAGGCATAAAGCTTATGAGTCACAGTATGAAAATTTGGGAAAAGGTAATAGATAAGAAAATAAGAAATAAGACATCGGTATCTAAAAACCAATTTGGATTTATGCCCGGTAAGTCAACAATGGAGCTAGTATTTTGTGTGAGGCAACTAATAGAAAAATGTAGGGAAAAGAAGAAAAAGCTGTGTGTGGTATTTATAGATTTAGAGAAAGCGTATAACAGAGTATCAAGAAAGGTTTTAAAGTGGGCATTAATGAGAAAAGTAGTCCCGAAGGTACATTAATATAATAGAAGATATGTATGATGGCACTTGTACCAGGGTAAAAAGCGTAGGAGGAATATCAGAAGGTATTCGGATAAGAGTAGGAGTGCACCAAGGTTCTGCTTTAAGCTCTCACTTTTTTTCTATTATGATGGATGAAATTACTAGAGAAATACAAGGAGAGGTACCGTGGTGCATGTTGTTTGCTGACGATATAGTGTTAATAGGAGAAAATAGGGAGGAAATTAATCAAAGGCTAGAGGTGTGGAGATCAGCTCTTGAAGAAAAGAGTTTAAAAATAAGTATAAATAAGACAGAGTATATAGAGTACGAGTTTGACAAAGGAGAACATGAGGTAGGTGAAATGAGGAGGACAGTGACAATAGGCGAGGCCATGATTGGAGAGGTGAAGAGTTTTAAGTATTTAGGATCAGTTATGCAAAAGAGTGGTGGTATTGACGAGATTGCAAGACACAGAATTAAGTACGTGTGGTTTAATTGGAGAGTAGCGTCTGGCGTCTTATACGATAAAAGAATTCCAATGAGGCTGAAACGTATGTTATATAAGACTGTAGTTAGACCAACCATAATGTATAGTTTAGAGTATTAGGCGTTTTAAAAGAGAGTAGTGCCTAGATGAGAATTCTTAGATGAATGTGTGGAGTGACTAGAAAAGATAGGATAAGGAAAGAGGATATAAGAGGGAGTATAGGTGAACGTCAATCGTGGATAAGATCAGAGAAAATATACTTATATGGTTTGGTCATGTTATGAGGAGAGAAGAATCGGAAGCTGTAAGAACAGTTATGGATATGAATGTTGAAGGAAGAATAGGTAGAGGAAGACCAAAAAAGAAATGGAGGGATGCTATTGAATGCGATTTGAGGACAGCTGACGTGAGGGTAAATGATGTGGGAGATCGTGTCAAGTGGAAGTTTAGGATAAGGGTGGCCGACCCCAAGTAGTTGGGATTAAGGCGAGGAAGAAGGAAAAGATTTGAAGAATATTCTCATAACGAAAATGAGTTAGTCTGGTAATATTGAAATATATAATATGTATCTAAGAACTTTATTTTGTAGAGATTCAATTTAAGTTCAATAACTCGGTTTTCCAAATAAGACTAGCAAATTCAAAATGTCGTGTAACAAAAGAAGAATAAAGGTATTTTAAAGTTGTAGCATCATTAAACTTAAAATAGTTACGGTTTATAATAACCAAAAACAGAGTGAGCTTTTTTTCGAAAGTTCCAATAAATGTTTATTAAATAAAAGTTAGTAAAAAATAATTCCAAGATCTTTTATATTCAAATACCTACCAAATTATTTGTTAATTTTCAAATCAATTAAAATCTTTAAGTAATTTAGAATTTCAAAAAAAATGTTTAAGTGTTGATTTAGCTTACTGAAAATATGAAGAAGATTATAAAACAGGAAAGGAAATAAAAAAGTTATTGAAAATAGTAAATGACACAGCAGAAGGGATTCAAGTTAATGGAGGACTATAATAATAAATTCACTAGAGACGAAGAACAAAAACAGATTTTATTACAAATAAATAATTTAATAATTTTCATATTGATCTAAATTCAATAAATTTATTTAAATGTTTAGACCGTATAAGATTACCAAAAAAAATATCCACAAAGTGACAGAGAAACACTAAAGAGAACATATTAGAAGTCAAATGCTGATCTTAAATAGACATTATGTTGTGCGAGTTTTAAAATAATTATGTTTTTATTATATATAATACAAGTTTTGTTTTACTTAATTTACTTAATTTTAAATAATTTTTACGTAATATTATGTCAACTTTTTATAAAATTTATCATATTTTATTATTTTTCTCAGAGTATTTTTGTTAATATCTTTTTTATATTCAATAATAAGTTCTATAATTAAGGTTCTATAAAAATTGTTATATTTCAACCCCAATACGGCATTAGAAGGGTTTGAGTAAAACCTTCCAAATTTTACCTACATTACACTTTTATATGACTGAATTAATCTTATGTAATACTTACTCAAATAGTAGAATAATTGATTTCACACATGTTCCTTTAAGTATAATTGACTAACCAATAAGAAGTATATTTAAATTAAATCTAAAATATCAATTTTCAAAAATTTTTACAGGCCTATAAAAGAGCAATTTCTGGCTTATTCGCTACTTTATTTTTTTCTAAAAATCTAGTCATGACGCGTCTCTGCACCAGACTGTTACGCAATTGTGCTCTTTCTAATTAAGAAACTTTTTCACACTTGGGCTTTTTTTCTTATTCTCTTATTAGTAACGTTTTTTAAAAATTATATCATTTTCCTTATATTTTATTTTATTTTATTTACATTTTGAATGTTTAATAATTATTAAATATTAAATATTTATTTTTATTATATGAGTTGTTCCAATTACGAATTTTTAAAATGTTTCAATTTGAGGGTCTATATTTATATGTGCATTTGGAAAATCTACCTTAACATATCTAGCGATTAAATACTATTGATAAAACAATAGTTTGTGGCGTATCACTAGGCATTGATTCTTATACTCAGGTTCTATATATTTTATTTAAACACGTAAAAATTACATGTTTGCAATGCGAATGTTTCATTTATATTTATTATTGATATAAAAATTATTAATTCAGCTAGCAAAGTTTGGCGATCAATAATCGGACAGTTTCAATTTAAAGAAACCCACATTATTTCCTGTATATAGTATAATCGATAAAACTTCAAGAGTCGTAAAATTCTACCTCAACACAATTATCTATATTATAAAAAAAAAAAAACATAGTGGGGTGGCGGCACAGTGGGGTCGTGGCATAGGTGGGTCTAGTATAGATGATATCTGACAGTGATTAAAATCACTATCATAAAAAACGCTTCGATGCAAATCTGTAGATAGTGTTTAATTAAAAAAAAAAAAATTTGTTAAAATAGCATATTTTTGAATACGGTAGCCATTTGCGCATAGAAGATAGGTCGTCGGGACAAATTTTTTTTTTTAATTTTATAGTACATGACATAAGCTTTAATTTGACATATGTTTAAAGGATGCAGTATTTCCAGAACATTTTCAAAAATTAAGTTGAAAAAGTTATTTTTTGTAAAACAATTACTATTTTAAATACTCCCAGTGAGCAGAATAAGTGTTAGATTTTCAAAAAAAATTATATCAAATGAAAGGGAAATATCTAAGGTTTCAATACAAAAAAATATTATTTTTATTTGTTCATTTTTGAAAAAGTTATGGCAGTTTTAAGTACAAAAAACATCCCTATAAATGGTAATTTTTATCGCAAACATTACATTTTTTTTTAATTTTCGACAGCCATTTGCACATACAAGATGAGATGTCGGGACAAATTTTTTTTTTTCATTTGATAGTATATAACATAACCTTTGATTTAATGTATTTTTAATGGACGCAGTATTTCCGGAACATTTTCAAAAGTTCAGTTGAAAAAGATCTATGTTTTTTACAATATTTCAAGTTTTGAACGCCCCCTTTATAAGGGGAATTTGTCCAATTATAATAAAAATTATGTCAAATGAAAGATGTACTTATAATGTATTTAGAAAAAAAAAATTTGTGCTGATATATACATTTTTCGAAAAGTTATAGCATTTTTAAGTTGAAAATTTAAAATCGAAAATCGAAAATTTTAACACAAAAATAGTGTTTTTTTAACTACGGCAGCCGTTTAAATGTAGAAGAAAAAGTGTCGGGACAAATTTTTTTTTTCATTTTATAGTACATAAAATAAGCTTTAATTTGATATATGTTTAAAGGACGCAGTATTTCCGGAACATTTTCAAAAATTAAGTTGAAAAAGTTAGTTTTTGTAAAAAAGTTGCTATTTTAAATCCCCCCCGTGAGCAGAATAAGTGTTAGATTTTCAAAAAAAAATGATATCAAATGAAAGAAAATTACCTAAGGTTTCAATATAAAGAAATATTATTTTGATTAGTTAATATTTGAAAAAGTTATGGCAGTTTTAAGTACAAAAAACATCGTTATAAAAGGTGATTTTTATCGCAAATATTACATTTTTTTTATAATTTCGACAGCCATTTGCACATAGAAGATAAGGTGTCGGGACAAATTTTTTTTTTTCATTTTATAGTACATAAAATAAGCTTTAATTTGATATATGTTTAAAGGACGCAGTATTTCCGGAACATTTTCAAAAATTAAGTTGAAAAAGTTAGTTTTTGTAAAAAAGTTGCAATTTTAAATCCCCCCCCATGAGCAGGTTAAGTGTTAAATTTTCAAAAAAATTATATCAAATGAAAGGAAAATATCTAAGGTTTTAGTTGAAAAAAAATTATGTTGATTTGTTTATTTTTCAAAAAGTTATGGAAGTTTTAAGAAAAAAAAGTGAAAAAAATGACAAAATTTGTCGATTTTTAAATTTGTAATTTTTTTGGATATTTCCCCCATTTGCGGGGAACGAGGGAA